TAGTTTCGAACTTTTCACTCCGAAATATCCATAACCCCGTCGATATGTGTATCTTTTAAAAATATAAAACCCCTCCAAGCATTTTGAGGGCCCAACTTGCGCCTCGAAACCCCATTTTGGGTACCTCTGCATACAGAAATTTTTTTATAATATTTTTTTTATTATCAATAGATAGTAATGTAGTATAGGTACAGACACCGGGGGAGGGGCGATCTTCCCCTCCCCAATAAAAATATTGAGGGAGCGAGAATATCGTTTCGTGCTCCCAAACTTAAAGTAAAAAAAAAAAAAAAATTATAACAAATAGCTTCATGAATAACATATATAAACTAAAATCGAGGTTGTACAAACTAGGAAATCTAAAGTATTATTCAATTTTGTTCAGATATTTTCTATTATATCCAAAAGTAAACATAAAAAAAACACACACCTGTATAAACATATATATAAATTTATTTTTAAATATCTAATATTATATTTGTTCCTTGCACAATAATTATGTTGAATTTGTACACATAATAGGTATTACCGCCATTTTTTTTTTTTTTTGGACCATCGCTCCCCCTCTCCGTACATTTTTTAGGATATTTACGACTGAAAACGCATAAACTTTCCATTCTGCCTGGTATTTTACCATCTATTTTCTTCCGTTTCCTCGACTTCCAGAAAAACCGTTGAACGCCCAGGTGCTGGAAGAGCTGTAGCCACTCCGGGCCATCCTTCTTGCTCCTGGAGAAGACCTCCTACGAAGCTCTCTCGCTACTGACATTCTCCGCCGCCCGTAAACAATGGAACCCTGTTTTAAATCTCTCTCTCTCTCTCTCTCTCTCTCTCTCTCTCTCTCTCTCTCTCTCTCTCTCTCACTCACTCACTCTCTCTCTCTCTCTCTCTCTCTCTCTCTCTCTCTCTCTCTCTCTCTCATTCTTTCTCTTCCTTTTTCTCATCGATTCATCTTTTCATTTGTGGAATGCGGCGGCCTCCCGCTGATGAGAACGGGATCGATTCTTATCTGTTAACGATAGCTCGATAGCAGTAAAGCATTCGATATTTATTCACCTCTCATGTACTCAAACCAATATATATGTCAGTTTCTTGTTTTTATTTTTTGAAAATTTTCGAGGTTTCTGAACCGTATAGTCGGCTGAAATATTGAGTATGTGCTTCGAATAAATTGGAAACTCTTCCAACTCCTCGTAAATTACTTATTAGTATCGAATTGAATTAAATAATTTAACGAGAAAACGTCTCATTTCTGAGAATTTTCTTAAGTAACATTTGTAGGTTATGATAACATGTTGCCATTTACAGAGTTTTAGGTGGATGTTAATAATTTGATAAAAAGAGATTTGTTCCTTGCTGACTACTCAGATTTAATATTAAAAGTGATTATATTGTTGTTCCATGGAATTTATAAATTAACAATCGAACACCGGCGGCCTATTATATTATTTAAAAGTATTGGGTTGGTAAATAAGTTCTTTCGATTTTTCTGTTTATTTTTATGTCACTATGAAACTCTTCTTATCTGATGAATTAATCCCTAATGTGGATTGTTTTTCTTGTTTGTAATATTAATTAAAATTTTATTATCTATAACATTCATTGAGCAATTCCTTCTTATTCAATGAAAAACGTGACCACACAAAATTGGTCTTAACTTTTTTTTTTCTTTTTTTTTTTTTTTTTTTTTTTTTATAGAGTGCTACCATTTGGTAGTTACTCAGCAAGTGTTTTCATGTCATTATATTCATTATGTTCAAATTTACTAGATGTATTCATTTAATACAGTAGTAAATAATACTAAGAAATAATAAATAATAAACTTTTTTATGTTCGAATTCGGTCCATGCATCAACGGAAACTTTTTTGTTGGGAATTGTGTCTAAAATCACCCCGTGATCTTTAAAAACTAAGACACCCTTTATAAGCTAAAGCAAAAAAGAAAATTCACGTTGAAATATACTTAAATAAAGTTATTACCATCGCTTATTTTTTTATGCGGCTCTTGATAAAGATGTATACCACCTATGTTATAGATACTATTTTCTACAGTCCATATAAGATGACATGAGTATTCTTTGTAACAAGGCCGATTAAAAATAAATCGAGAGATTCCCTAATTGCTGAGATAAGAAATGACCAGGTTCGAAACCAGCTTCGTCCCTTCCGACCAATTATCCCTAATTATTAAACTCAAATAGTCATGCTCAGGTATCTTACACAAGTATTCGCTGATCTTCGATCAAGTCACAGCAGTGAATTTCCTACTGATATATCTAATATATGGTCGTACATTAGCTTGCAGCATTTAAAACTCAGTTCCTAATGTATTAGGGATATGATATCAAGGAGTACATACAATGTCAGGGAGAGCAGAACACAAAAAAAAAAAAGAGCATGAAAGAGTATGAATTTTCAAAGTAGTAAAAAAATGTATTTTATTACAACTTCTTTTTTTTTTTTATCGTATCCTATAGATTTTGCCACTTCTTTCGGTCCAGTAAGTTTCTCTCTGGAAAGCCTCTGGTAGCCATGATTTCCTCCACATCCTGCAACCATTTCGTCCTTGATCGTCCTCTTTTTCATCATTCTATGGGTTGATAGAGAAAGGTTAATTTACAACTGTTCCCGCTGTTCGTAGTTTACAAATCTTTAAAATTTCATCCATATATATAATGAATATAGGGGGCTCAAGCTGTCCCCTTGCTTTACTCATAGCAAAAATATCAGACTCTATTCCATTTATTCTAGCTATGCCCTTTGAATCCTGGTACGTGGATCTTATAGTATCAATCAATCCTCGTGGAATATGTTTTCCATCAAGACCTTCCATAGTTCTTGTCTAGGGACGGAATCGAATGCAGGCTTTGTGTCTAAGAATGTGAGAAATACATTTCTATTCCGTTCCCAAACCTTATCGATTATTGTTCCTAAAGAATATATGTGGTCTTGGGTTTGACGGTGAGACCTGAAAGCAGCTTGCTCTTCTTTCAAGTGTTTCTCCACCATTGCTCTAAGTTTCTTCTCCAGTATTCAAGTATATATATCACATACAACTTGTGAGAGACAAATAGGTTTGTAATTTCCACATTCGCTAGTATTTCCTTTCTTATGTACTGGAACAATTTCATTATATTTCCGATCCTCTGAAATAAATTTTTCAGTCAATACTTTTTTAAAAAGGCACTATAGAGCTGTCATCAGTTCAGGTCTCTCCCGTATTCACTAGCGGATTCAGGATTTAATTTTGGGGGGGGGCTTCAGCCCGAAACCTTTTTTTTTCTCACAAAAATGACGATAATTACTTTTGAAAAAAAGAAAGAAACTAACCATCTATATGAAATGGTGTTTAAGTGATTCCTTAAGTCCTTTTAAATGTAATTACACGAACAATAATACTTTAAGAGATAATTTTTTAATATATTTTTCCATATTTTTTCCATTTTAATGTATTTAATAAATTCTGGCACAATACCATCCCGGCTGCCTTACCATTCTTAAGTTTTTCTACTGCACTTTGTGTTCCTTGGATAGTGCTGACCTCTTAGCGGATTTTGGAACTATTAGTGTCTTTTTTATATTTATTGGATGGTGCTACACCTTTTTTTTTTAGATGAATACTATTTTTCAAAAGTTTTGTTTGATTGGCCAACTACCTTCAATCAGTTACAGTAACAATTATTCCAACTTTGTTTTTAAATTCTAAACGATTACTAAAATTGTATTGTGGTATTGTTTAACTGTTTATTTATTTAATTCTTAATACAACAGGCCAGCATAGTCTTCCATAATGTTTTATTAAGTTAAACTTATCTGTGATAAATCCTATTATTTTCCTTTTGAATTATATTGTTGGAAGTTACATAACTTTGAGGTAGTGTCCGTTCTTCAATGTTTTAAATAATAGATAATTTTTAATGTATTTTTCATTAAAAATTACATAATTTAGTTTTAATATTTATCACGAGTTTCTCATAGTAAGTGAAATGAAGTTTTGAAGGCATCTAGAGGCACTAGCGGATCCAGGATTTAATTTGGGGGGGGGGCTTCAGCCCGAAAGATTTTTTTTCATAAATACAACGATAATTAATTTGACAAAAAAAGAAAGAAATGAACTACCTATATGAAATGGTGTTTAAGTGATTCTTGAAGTCCTATTACATGTAATTACACGAACAATAATACTTTAAGAGATGATTTTTAATATTTTTTTTTATAAAACATGGTTATATTTTACCGTTTTGGGGTGGCTTTAGCCCGAAAGCCTCCCCCCCCCTCCGTAAATCCGCCTGGGTCTAGAGGTTTCGACAGTGAACTGTGTTTTTAAATATTATGGCTACGTAATAGTATATTTAAATATATAGTGAACAGTAATAGAAGGAAAGAAATAGAAGTGTTTCTGTAATAGGTTCGGTTTAGTTTACCCAATTCTTTCTTTGTAATTAAACATTTAGGGAAAGTTTCACGGACAGTCGTGATTAAAGTTAACATTATCCGTTAACAAACTCACGTTAAAACTTAATTAATGTTAAAATTTGGGTCCAGTTGCTCCAAATAATTTATAAATAGAGTTAGTTAACATGGTGTTAATGAGTGACGTCATCATATTTATGACGTATTTTATAAAAAAACTGACGTTTTTAAGAGTTTGGTTTATGTTATGAAACCTTCCATCCACTCGTCTTTAATCCATGTAAAATGTCTTTGATATTTATAAATAGCTAGGTGTTAGGATATTTATTACAACTTGATATTTATTCTAAAGAAGATGGAAAAAAAGAGGAAGAAGGAGCATTTTTTTTTTCAAAATTCACAGTCATTGTTTTCCATAATGTTTCAGCATTTCAAAATAATAGAAAACATGAAAAGTGATTGGTTGACAATCAAAGAAAAAAGTTCTGCATGGATGCAGGTTGCAGAAGTATTTGATGCCACCAACAGCTTTAGATAACTTACTCAACTGAAGACAGCCTGTGTGAATTTTAAGAGAAAATTGAAAAATGAAAATGCAGATAAGGTAGATTCATCAAAATATTTCATATTTTAACACAATTGAGGGGAATTAGAATAATAATGGTGAAAGTGAACTTATCTTTGTTTTTAGGGAGAGAATGTTTATTGTAGTTAAATAATGTAAGTGTAAGTACAATTATGATTATAATAAATATAAAACTGTAATATGTTTAGGCTGAGTTCTACAAAACTGGAGGAGAGCCCTGTGAACCACAAAAAATTGATGAATCTAAAGCAAAATTATTGGACCTTCTTAAGCCCCCAGTTTATTTATTATAATTAATAATTATTTATCCACTAGTAATGTCATAACTGTATATTGATATAAAATTCAATTGTAGTTGTTTAATTAAATAATAAAATTAATTTGTTTATTCTATTTCATCATGCCAAGCAGCTAAAGAAGATAGTTAAATTACATCAGTAATAGACCCTAATATTATACCGACATTAGATATTTCTTCAGAAAAAGAAACTTGTTCAAATGGAATTTCTCCTGAACCTGAAGCTACAAACAGTAATCGTGGAATGTTTAAAAGGTAGTGGACCATCCCTGATACTTATCCTTTTTTTAATTTTATTTATTTATTTTGTCCCTGCCTTGCCTTACAGGCAATACAGGTTGTAACAGCAGTGGAGTATTACACAGTATGTGTATGCCACTGCTGGCGTATAGGACTATTTATTTAAAATTTTGTTTAACATTATTATCTATGAGGTGTAAACTTGTTTGTGTGCACAAGCCCAGGCTTTTACTTTTCTTCATTCTTCCTCCTTCCACCTGAAGCTGGTCCTCGAAGCAACTGCAGCTTGGCTTAACTTCTTTCTCTTCTTCTCAGATTAAAATACATAGGACCTAAAGCATCTTTCCACCCGTATACGAATTTCCTATAATGTGGGTAATTCTCTCTGCTCATTAGCTGAGGAAACATGCTCTCTATCGGCGTATATATGGAGACAGAGGTCTCTCTCAGGAGCTTAGCTCTTAGTGCCTCATAGGCAGTGCATTTGACGACAACATGTTCGGTGGTCTCCAGAACGTTGCAGTTGAGGCATAGCGGATCGATATTCTTCCCGTGTTTAACCAGCTTCAATCGAAAGCTCCCATGTCCCGTGAGGAGTTGAGGCATCCAGTAATCCGGGAGAACCCATCTTGCATCTAATCGTGACTTAACTTTACTTTCTTAGGGTTGCCCCCTTCGGAGTTTCCATCCATCGCCGGTTCCACTAATCAACTCTGCCCTCCCTGATAATTCCTTTCCATCTTCTAGGGTCTTCATCAATTCTGATCTTTAGATGTTCCGGTAGATCCGCCGAACATTCTCTTTTCATTTTAAAGAGATAATAGTTTTCTCGCAGGAGGAGATCAAGAGATGTCCCTCCTGTCAGTACTTGCAGTGCCTCATGAGATTCCGTTTTATAGGATCTAGTGACCCGAAGTAAAACCAATCTCTGAATTGATGCTAGTGCTAGCCTACTCTTCTGTCGGTGCGAGAGGTTTAGGTTCCAGGCTGGGGATGCATTTCTACTACTCCTCCAAAACTACTCCTCTGATATTTATCAGAATGTAAGTGAATTCTCAAAGCCAAATTGGAAAGGGAGGAACACATGAAATAAAAAGCTTTACTAAATAAAGAAATGTAATCAATGAAATATGAATAAGAAAAAGAGGTAAATCATTTTAAATTAGAGCAGGAAAAAAAATTATTTCATACAAAATTGGAGTTTGAAAAGCAGGTGAATTCACTTAGAATGCAGCAAGAAAAGTGAAGCTAATGTTTGAAGAAGAAATATTAAAAGCCAAAAAAAAATAATCTGCTTTCAACCTTTTTATTTTATTGTATTTTTATGTTTTTACAATTAAAAATATTTTTAGTTTAAGCAATTATTAGTTTGTTGTTAGAAGTAATCATATGTAAGATTACACTTTAACATCCTTTAAAGGTTTGACCAAGGTTTCCTTGGATTAGTTTATTGTGCTGACTTCAAGCGTTGTTGAAGCTATTGTATATTGGTGCAATGAAATTTCTGTTAACCATTGTTAAACTAATCGAGGTTAGTAAAACTAAAGTTAACAATGGTCAATCATTGCAACCGTATATTTGATTAAAATTATAACAATAATTAATTAATAAAATTATAAGAATAATTCATTCTCGGTTTTCTAATTCCAAGTATTCCTTTTGAGTTTAACGCTTACTTCCATTTAAAATCTTTTGATAGTTAAAATTGTGACAATAATATTTTAAAATTGAAAATGGTTAATGTAATAAGATATTTTGATTGTAGTTGATTAGTTGTGTTGTATATCACGAAATAAATAATTAAGATTCAATCATTATTATTTTATTACAAAAGCCAACATTTCAATACAAACTTCTGGGTCTTCTTCAATGCTGAATCAGTATATAAAAGCAAAGATTTTCAAAGGGTAAGAACTCATCATTGTTATCTAAGCCTAAAATATTTCGGAGTTGTGAAATTAAATATCTTATTATTCTTAAATCTAAGATGAGATGATAGACAAAACTTCCTTAAAGAATCACAAGATATATTCCTTTGAAAATATTTTCGTTATGTAGTTATTGAATTTGGTCTTTGATATTTATTAGGCTGGCTCATGTATAAAACCATACAGCCTCCTCTGCTGGGCAAATAAATCCTCATTCATTTTTTATGGCTGTAATGAGGAGTTTTTATGTTCTTTTATATATCTATTTGCTATGAGTATGTATAAATGTTCCATTGTGAATTCTCAAAACTTGAAATCTTATTAATACCTTTTTTTTTTTTTACAGATGTTAAATTTCTCTTCATGTTCACGGATGTTTCACTAGGAATGCATCCTATAATCAATCGTATTTCTACAAGTAAGTACTGAGGAAAACTATGTAATATATTTGAGAAATATATATGAAAAAATTTTGTTTAATTTATGTTCATTTATTTATTTATTCGTTAGTTCCCTAGAAAAAAATAAATCCTAAATGTAGAATATCTTTTTCACCATTGTGCTACAATTTGGCAAATATAAATGTCTTATTTATTTTTAAAATATTATGATAAATAGCACAATTTTAAAATTGTGATACAAGAAGATTATAGACTATGAGATAATACATGAAAATATTCGATAACAGGTATTATATATAAGTAGTGAAAAATAAAATTAATATGGGTGATAAATAGTCAAAATGCAGTCATTTATTATCCGTAGTATATAATAATAATACTTTATTTATTCTGGGGCGAGTCCCTTTAGAATAATACAGAAAGACATAAATATGGGCTAAGGAGCCTTAGAGATACATAAATAAAAATACAGAGTAATTAAACAGTCATAGTAATAAAATTAAAAATTATAAGTTACTTTATAATTTTAATCAGTTAATAATTAAAAATTAAAAAATTAAATAAAAAGTATGAAGTAAAAATAATGAAGAACGAGCTAATAATTTATATACATATTTACATTAGTATCTATTTACAATCTCATGGGGACTGGATGGATAAGAAATGATTGAACAGACGGGATTTAAAGGTAGGAATGTATTAGATTGTCGAATGTGAGAAGGGATGGAGTTCCAAAGGGATGAGGATCGGATAATGAAAGATCTGTCGAAAGCAGCAGTTCGGTGGTCCCTTATGTATAAATCAGAAGACCGGGAATGAGTATTACGGGAAGGAACTGAGGATTTGAATTGAAGGAGCTCGGGAGATGTATGAAGGACGGTGTGATTGGATAACTTGAAAGAGAAAGGATGCCAGCAAATATTTACTACGGTAGGAAGGATAAAACCACTTCATCTCTGCATAAAAATGGGAAACAGAGAAGTGGAACAGTCCCTTTAAAAACTTCCTTCAATAATTAATGAATCAAAAATTTGTGTTATGTGAGGGCATTTACAAATTATATAGGCAGTAATGGTAACAAAGCAATAAAGTAATAAACACTGACAAAATTAGGGCAACTAAGAAATTAAATAGCAAAAATAGAGGTATGTTAGAATATTTTCAATAACATATGAATAAATACTATGTGCGTATCTAAACTTAATAATATATAAGATAATATGTAGGTATTTAAACTGAAGTTAATAAATATGTGGAATGGAAAATATATGGCATATAAATTTAGGAAGTTATAAAGTAAATTGTAATATAGCTGGAACTTAAAGAATAACAGTAACAAAGTTAGAATATAAAAAATAACAGAACTTATATACTTATGAAATAACAGATTATATTATTATTATAATTAGTGCCTACTATTTCCTCAGTATTTATTTCTTACATGGTCTTTGCTTAGCCCTAATGAAGGCATGAAACTTAGGCCGTAATGTGAGCACAAAGATAATAAATGTAATTTATTTTTATGTATTTCCACATGTATTCCAATCCCGAAACAACTTCTCTTCAATAATAAGTTTTAACAGTTTTAGAAATATTTTAGACTTTTTCACATTATTGATGTAAAACCTTGCATTTATTTTTTTTATTCCTTTAATCATTTATTAAGACCTGTTAAATGTGAAAGAATAGATATTCAACAGTTCATAAGTTGGAACATAAGTCCAATGGATGCTAAACTTGGTCATTGACAAAATCTCAAGAGAGGAAGATCCAGTTGTGTCAGAATGAGGACGATAGATTTACTATGAATTTGAGGAAAAAGGACAGAATGAAAAATGACTGGATCAAAAAAGTAACAGGACTCACAAGATACCCTCTTCACTTCACCTTTTCTTCTTCTTCTTCCGGCACTACAACTCAGTGGTGAGTCAAGGCCTCCTGCAACATCCAGGCTTCTCGGCTCGTTGCCACTGCCCTCCAGTTTCTTACTCCTAAGATTGACCGTGCATCCTCCGCCACTCCATCAGCATACTGCAGTCTCGGGCCTTCCAACTCTTCTCTTCCCGCATATCCTTTCTTACAAAAGTTTCTTTGGGACCTCATCATTCTTTATTCGAGCAACGAAGCCTTCCAGCTCTTTTGAATCTGAAGACATTTATATAATTATACATTCTTTCTAATTTCATATTAAACAATAAACAGGCAAGGCTGTCACCCTGCCTAAGGCCCTTGTACGTTTCAAACTCCTTAGAAAATTCTCCACCTACTCGGATAGCACACTTCACGGTTATCTTTAACAGACCAACTTTATCACCCACCTAACCAAACATATTGCCATTTTATCTTTAAAAAATAACAAAAGTTGTAGTGGGTAGTTAAATCTCCGCTCAAAAAATATAAAAAATAAAGTAAAACAAATTATCACCCACTTACTCAAACCTATCGCCAAGAGAGGCACAGGAAATTTGGTATCGCCCAGAGCTTCTCATGATCCGTCTACATGGTTTAATATTGCTCTATTTAGCCATTACATGTGCAATTACATTGACACTGTTTCAATAATAAGAAGAAGCTTTATAAAAATCAAACAAGTTTGATATCAATCAGTTTGATTGACGTCGCTACAATTGATGCCAATGTAGCCCTTACATAGTCTCTATATTGACTTAGTAATATTGATCGTGTAATGGGCCCTTAAGGCTTGAGCTGAAAAGGCTTCAGCTTTCTCGATTTGACCAAGGCTCGAGTCGCAGCTGGAACCTTACTTCTTTTTTCCTATCTATTTATTTACATTATATTTCAAAAATATATTCACATTGTCACTATCAACAGAAAGATAACATATTCACATATTATTTCAGAAATATATTCATTTTATTACAATCAACAGAAAAAATATACATGTATACAAAAATGTACATGTTTAAGCAACTTTTCAATTTTTAATTAAGGCAAGGTAAATAACACTCATGAATTCTTAATAGACAACATTCAAATTATTAGCAACATTCTACTTTCATGCAGTGGACTGTATTTTAATGGATTTAATTGGATTGTGCAAAATAGCTGACCATCTTTATGCCAGCTTACAACATCTCTTTTTTATCTTGAGTGTGCCCTCGGAGCATCTCTGCTGTGTCTGACTATCTGTGCTGTTCTGAGGTCGAGAGCTGGTCGCTCGTATGGATTAAGCTTTATCTTTTAGATCCTCTAATCTGCCACCACCCATAACAGGGAAACTTGGAAATATTTTTGCTCAAACAGTACAATAATTTTATTTTTATTTTTTTTTTTTTTTTAAGATAATTTCATCAAGGCTTGAATCTTATGAGTCTTCAGCTTGAGTCTTGAAGGTTCGAGATCCAAACGCTCTAGAGCTGAGCCTTCAGGACTCGATTTGGAGCTCGAGGCTTGTTTTTACAACACTATATTACAATGGGTTAAATAATCATGTAAACATAATTCTTAAAAATAATTAAACATTTCAGATCAAAAATGAAGACCTCAGAAGGACTGTAATAATGTGCAGAACTAAACTCAATTTAATGGCGATTTCCAACCACACGAGAGGAGCTAGCAATGAGGAGCAATGTCTAGTGTTTCAACGTGAAAGGATCAGCTGGCTATGACTTCTTTGTAAACCAGGAATTTTGTACTTTCCAGTCTGCAATCGATTGTAAACCAGTTTTCATTTGCATCTATTGAAACAAATGATGCATCTCAGGCTAAATTGGCATCTCCTTCTTGTCCAGGTAATGATTTGATTAAATATTAATTAGTTAATTAATTACAAATATTGAAAATCAAAATCTTGGTCGAGTCTCCAAACAAAGAAAAAAAAATACGTGATGGTACTGAGAAACAAAATAACACTGTGGCCTCAAGAATGCAGAACATTCCAGGCAAAGCATAGTGAAGAAGTGAATAATATAAAATGATGCAATTTCTTCAAGAATTATTTACGGACATTTGCAGAGAACAGCTACCAGCAGAAAATGGTTTGTTTCATTTATAAGTAAGGAGATATAGTTTGCGTAATAATTATGAAGATATTTCTCCTCCTATTATCAATATGGTTAATCATTATTTTTAATAGATTGCTTCCCATTGCTGATTGAAAGCTGAAGAAATATTAATCTGGATTCCGAAGAGATAGTTCAATGACAAATCATAGTTTTACTCTGTGAATTCAGTTGTAAAAGGCAAAGGAATACTAGATATGTAATCATCACATGTGACATTGTGATCATAGAAGGAGCATATAAAGGTACTATTTTGCTGGCGCTGCCCACGGCAGCGACCACTATTTCACTGCCAGCCGCTGTTGGCTTAGCTATTTCGCTGAAACTGCTCACCGGGGTTGTTATAATCTGCCTATAACCTTTAAACATCTCGAACATCTATCTTCAAAGATAAAAAAATGGACTTATTATCTCTTACCACAGCTTTTTTTATTATTTTATATTTATATTTTAATTCTTTTATTTATTTAATACCATTTGGATTTAGATATATTCGAATTTCGTTGTAAAATAGTGTTGGTGGAATAAATTAATAAATGATCTTCTTACTTCAACCTTAAAAAAATAATTTACTATTGCATTGTTTAAGTTTTAAACAATACTTTTTATAATTTTGCCAGACTTGAAAGAAACATAGGAAATAAAACGTATCGACGTGACTGTTATCATCAAAAAACACTTTGATATGATAGCATAACCTCGAACCGCAAACAGCTCCACTACTTCAGGAGCGGTCAGATAGGAGCAGCTTAGATATGATGTCATACCTAGACTGTTCAGCAGCTCCAATGAAATAGGTTCCTTTCTATTCCACCAAAGCAGTGGGCAGTGCCAGCGAAATAGTACCTTAAGGCAATCATAAAAATTAATTTACCAGCCATATTGGTTCAGCTTATAATAATGATACTGGAGGACAATCTGTGCTTTTTCACAACAGGAACAGATGTAACAGTATGCCAGGCCTTTCTTATATTTAAATTCTGCCTCACAAAACCATTATAAATGC